ATATATATATATATATATATATATATATATATATATATATAAAAATATAAAAAAATATAAAAAAAAAATATATTATATATATATATATATATATATATATATATATATATACATATATAATATAAATAAAAATATATTATATATATACATATATAATATAAATAAAAATATGTTATATATATATATAATATATTTTTAATTTATATTTTTATAATTTGAACTATATATATTATTAATTATATTATTATTATTATAATATATATGCATGTAATATGTTTTCACCAAAATTATTGACGGTACAGATATGATTTTCGAATGATCGTTCCATAAAAGATAGAACGGCGAGCTTAGGAATTTGATAGTATCGGAAACGTTGGTCCTCAGTGTGTACGATAATGAATTGATCCCAAAAATTCCGAGACGTGAAACGGGTGGCTGAGTTTCGAGCGATAAGCGGCGCTAATTAGCACACGCGTATCGGGATTGAATTTCGAAACTTAATTTAATTTCAACCCTGCCCGAGACTAAGTTCCTCTCGACAAGAAATCCGTTGCCAGGATTTCTGATCGTCTCCTCTCTTTTGTGCAACTCCGTTCTAATCATTGAAAGCGTTCACGCACCGCGCAAAACGTTAATTACACCGCGGCACGGTATCACACACGGTTCATCGGAATCGGTTGATTCCGATAGGAGAGCTATGCACAAACGAGCGCAAGCTAATGTTTCAATTAAACGGGTTACATTATCTGCGCGGAGCGAAGAGAAATATTGTTCGACTGTGCAATTTTTGTTCACCTTACGTCGATGATCAACATTCCCGACGATCTTCGATATAAACTTCGTGTTCTACGAAACTTTCAATTACATTACAACCGTGGTTACTCTCCTGTTTTGGCGATACCAGTCCGACTGATTGGTGTTTTTAACACGTTGACTGCCGCGTCACCCGTATTCAGGTGACAGCAAAAGTTCTCATCAGGCCACGTCACCCGTAATTCGGGTGTCGCTGATTTGACTACTTACAAAGGATTTCCGAAAATATTTCGACAAATATTCTACAGGAGGTAATGAAACTATTGAATTCTTATAAAAATGGTTTATTAAACAAATTATTCGCAGTGTATAACATTAAAACATTCTCTGCAAAGTTGAGGTTGATCAGGACAGCTTGGAC